GCTAAATGCGTGCGTCCCCCCCCCCCCCCCCCCCCCCCCCGCCCCCCGCGCCTCGCCCTCGCTCTGTGGGCCAGGACGCCGAGCGAACTATCGTCATCCGGCGGCTCAAAGCAACCACCGCCTCAAGGAGCTCGTGGGCCGGGCGCCTCGTGGAGGGGCTGCCGGAGGCGTCCCGACTGCCCTTCCCGCGCGACTGCTTTTCGGTCCGACTGCCTCAAAAACGGCCGGCATCCGACTGGGGGCGTCGGGGCCCCGGGACACGCGCAGCACGCTCCGGAAAATGTCCGAAGGACGGAAGATATCTGCCGGAGGGGCGGACCTCATTTGTGGGTCGACTCGGACCGACACGGGGGAGGGGGGCAGCCGACTGTGCCGCCCGGTGTGCGTCTTTCCGGCTGGAGAGGGTTTAGGACGGTGGCTCTCCCGCCAGGGTCCTCCACGCCGGGAGCACGTCTGGCCCGAACGGAGCGGCGTGGGCCCGGCCAAGACCTCTCGGCCATCCGCTCCTCCAGGCCCCCCCCCCCCCCCCCGCCCCCGCATCCGCCTGGCTCAGCCCACCATTGAGCCTTGTTTACGGCGGTCCCGGGGCGGCGCGGGAACCCCGCTCCAATGAGTGCGAAGTGCCCGACCCCGTGGAGACGATTTTCAGACGCCCCCCAACCGGGACGGTCCACGGTAAGGTGGCAGTACGCGTGTGTGCTCGCGCGCGCGCGGCAACGTGGCGGTTGATCCCTTCCCAGGACCCCGAGAGCCCGGGGAGCCCGGGGGGGGGGGACCTCCAGACGTCAGGGCCCCTGCTTTTTCATTTCGCAGTTTGCGCCAGCTTTCCGCCCCCCCCCCTTCCCCCTCGGTCTCCGAGGAGAGCCGCTGCCCGAACATGCAACGGGCGGAACGCCAACCGAAGTCTGGTCGTGCGTGCGTGTGGTGTGTATGCGGCCCGCGCGCACCCCACGAGCAGGAGTCATATAAATGCCCAAAAGACGGGCGGCACATCATCATAGCTCAGTCGGTAGTAGCGTGGGATTCATAACCCCAAGGTCGTGAGTTCGAGCCTCACTGGTCCCAAAACAATCTTTTGCCCACTCTCTCTCCGGGGGATTGTGTCTTCTATTTTTCTGCATGTGTGGTGCCCCCCCCCCCCCCGTGCCTCGCTCGCGCCCCTCTCCTTCAGCACACCCATGGGCAGCGAGCCCCTGCAATATGTATGTCTTTGACTCATTATCTTTGTGTCCTTTTTGTCCCTGCGGCCAGGTCGACCCATCTCTCTCTCTCTCTCTCGGAGGAGGAGGAGGAAAAGGAGGAGGCTCTCGCGGGGCCCCTTCGTGCCTGACCATTGGGTTGTATCTGCCAGTGCCCTTCATACGGCAATTTCCTAGCTAGCCCTGACCCCGGGACGAGGGGGTCCCGCACAAGCACGGCCCCCCGACATTTTGCTATGGCCACAGATGCTTTTTTTTTTTTGGGGGGGTTTTCTTGGTGTGCGCGTGTTTACGCACGCCCCCCCCCCCGCCCCCCGCCCCGCGAGCTGCCTGCCCGTCTGGGGACTCTCTCGGCCATTTTTCCCGACCCCCAGGTCCACAAGGACGAACCCCGGGGGAGACAGGCCCCTCGGCCCCTTCGGCCCCTCTATCCTTACCGGCAACCGAGAGGGCGAAGAACGGCCGTCAGCCAACCGAAGTCCGAGGCCTGCCCAGGACAGTGGGCAGGGGGCCCTTGTGTTCTCCGCCAAGAGGGGGAGGGCGCCGCCAGGGGGCGCGCCTGGCTTCTCTGACTGCGCTCTCCCGGTCGGGGCATGGGGATGGCCCATGTTCGGCGCCCTTTTCCCAGCTCTCGAGCTCGGATCTTGGCCCTGGGGGGCCCACGCACCCCCCCCCCC